TCTGATTTACTTATTTTTAAAGTGAAAATTTTCCTAAAAAAAAACAAGAAAAAATAAGGAAAATAGTAAATTTTCACCCAAAGAATGATTTATCAAATTTCCGAAATGAGAATTTTCCTAAAAAAAAGTAAAAATCTTCAAGAAAAAAAATACAAAAAAAAGAATGAAAAAGGGTTAAAAAAAAAAGAAAAATTTTTTTTTCGGATTAATCAAAAGTTTTCTAGCCAATTAGATGATTTTTGTATTGTCCAATTGAAACATCATTTTTATTGAATGATTTGTATTGTTTCTTAAGAGACGATGATTTGATCATTCCAATCAGATCATTTGATTAGAATGATAATATTGATATGAATGATAGTATATTATTCCAAAGGGATGATAGTTCGATCATTCTAATCAAACGATTTTGCATCATTCCAAAAGAAACTATATTGAATCGTTCTTAATGACGATAATTATTCCAAAAGAAACGATGTTGAATTGTTCTTAATGAATGATTATCATTCCAAAAGGAATGATTTTTATCATTTAAATTGAATGATAATCATTCCAAAAGGAGCGATTAAAGATGATAACAGCAATTGATTTCAAATTTACAAAATGTTACAATATAAGCTAAAATTAGTTGCAACATATATAGGTTAAAAATAATTGCAACGTAAGTTGCAATATTAAAAGTTGCAACATATTAATTACAGTTCCCATCTTTAGGAACGATGTTGAATCATTCTTAATGAACGATAATCGTTCCAAAAGGAATGATGTTGAATCGTTCTTAATGAATGATAATCATTCCAAAAGGAATAATGTTGAATTGTTCTTAATGAACAATCATCGTTCCAAAAGGAATGATCAAATTACTATAAATGAAAAATAATTAAGGAGATGATGACTACATTTTTGAAGATACTTCGTTATATGATAGTAGTATTTCTTACCAAGAAGAAAATAGTCAATATCACACATTCACAATAAGTTGGTTTTAGTAGCATTTCAAACTCCAAAATTTTCATACAGTTAATTATTATAACGCTGAAAATATAATGACACAATCCGTTTTAACAGTAGTTATCAAATTTTACCAAGAAATTGAGTGTGAATTTCAAGGTGCATAATAACATATTTACTTATATTTTCGTCTATGTAATTCATTAATTTACCCATATAAATGTGAAATATAGGAGCGTATGTTTTACAATAAATAGATTTATTTTAAATGATATCATTTATTGTATTTTTTATTTTTTTATTTTTTCATTAATTTATTATTATTTTTTTTTATACCATTTTTCATAGTATTTTTTATTTTTGCCAATTATTTAACAAAAAAAAAAATAAAGAAAATACAAGAAATCATCTAAGAATTAAATTTAATAATAATTATTCTTCAATCTAGTTTATTTGATCGACACACTTTGCTAATAATCACATTTACCGACATGGTCATTTTGTCAACATTATATCCAATTTTCATTTGACTGACAATCATTTTGTCATTTTTATTGTTCCATTTACAGAAAATTTTTATTATAAACATTTATATATTTAGTCATAAAACATTTTATATAATAATCTTATACATATATATTTTATATCACAAATTTTTGAACCGGTTACGATTTGATTTTCAAGTGAAAGAATTAACAATCTAAAAATTTATATTTAAAAAAAAACTGTTAATTTTTAAAATGGCTTGGAAGTTATCGACATATAATAAAAGATTTTACGTTAATATAGAATTTGTATTGAAAATATTATTATTTTAACATGTCATATCATAATAAAGTAATTTAATATAGATTTAAGCTTTGATTTCTCAGTATCTAGTGAATGTATATGATGTTAAATAAATAGATAATTATTTATCAGATCTAATTAAAGAATGCTGTAGGCTCATTAGTTCATTCGTTTTACTTAAGAAATTAATGATTAATTAAGAATCTGTAATTTTTGCTGAATTAGCGAAGTTTTAAATTTAGTTTCACTTTATTATCATATTCAATGCAATGTAATTGTTTAAAACTTCAACATGATTTCTATTACCTATCTAGTTCTAAAAAGTTCATTTTCATATATGATCTAAACTTGAAATTGCAGAAAATAAATTTAGATCATTTGTTAGTAAATTATCATCTTTCCAACTTTATTTTGCATAGCTATATTATTTTTGTTTATAAAGATAAGAGTCAATCATAAAGCAATATTAACAAGTATTAAAAAGGTTTAAAACTATATAAAGCTCGTAGAAATGAATTACAAATCCTATTTTCTTAAACACGATCTATTAACTTTTTACTAAACACGTTAATTCTTCATGAGATTGAGTAATGAGTTCAAATTTTGCATCTCCAAATCTCTTCTGAACATCAGATGAATAGGGGTCACATAATAATATAGATGAGCACTTCCAATATATATTTCCCATAATTTACCATTATCGTCAAAGACTGGTAAGCTTAAATCCCTAGGTTAACCTTTAAAACAAAGAAAAGTTTATGAATAATTCAATTGGATACATTACTTTAACTAACTTACTAAATATTATGTCTTTACTGGTAACTTTTAATGCAAATCTTTCTACTCTTTTTTCCTTTTTTTCTCTTTACCCTTAATGAGAAGCGGTAGAAGAAAGTTTACCAGCTTATCTTGTATTAACCTTCTAGTTATAGAGGTAATTCTTTCAACTTTTTATATTTATACAAAGTTTTTATCGTTACTTACAGAAGTTTTTATGCTACTAATTGTAATATTGCTTTCCAATAGAGTATTTGGTATTTTTGGGATTTCGCAATCATTTTCAATTTCACAAAATGCATAGTCAAAAAATTGACGAGTAGGATTAGCTCCTAAGAAATGATATTTTGTCACCTTAACACATAAACTAGTATCAATCTTTTTATTTATAATTGTTAGCAAATTAAATACATAGAGAATAAGTTCATTGATATATATACCTGATCAAGTATTCCTGGTTGATCATTCTTTCTAAATCCATGTTTTGTAATTAATAAAAATTTCTTATCAGGCTCTTCTATATTTTAAAACAATCTTCTTAATGTACAAACATTAGGTAGATATCTTGAACTGCCAATACTTATGTCAGGCATAAAATTTTTATGAAATAAATGATAATAAAATTTGAAATCGACTCCATAGGAAATTATTATATGATATCCTATGAATTCAGATGGTAAATTAACTGGAGTTTCTTCTGGGACATATACAAAGACTATAAGAGCTTCCCTATTATCAACTAATCCTTTGTTTACGCATATTTGTGCAATTATTTTATTAAATTTCTTATGAAATTCTTTTAAAATAATATCAAACTGTTTCAAATGCTTAATATCAAATATTAGACTAATTTCACATCCATCCAGCATCTCTCCTTGACTTTTAAATGTATCAATAAGTATATTTTCTGTTGAAAACAATTCAGTTCAGATCGCTGCGATTGAATATTTTCTTTTTTCTTTTTTAATAGATTTACAAGTATTAGAAAATTTGGTTTTTTTTTAATTTTGGGTTGATTGGTTTTTTTTTCACCTTTGAAAATTCAGGCTGCAACGATAAATTATTAATTTTTCTTTTCAATTTAAATAATGATTTTTTAGTTGTTTTTTTTTCGAGCTACTTTTCAATAAAGCTGTTTTTATTATTATTTTGTTAAATTTTTTTGTTTTTTATAAATATTTTCTTTTTTTATTATTATTTGATGATTTTGGATTGCTGCTGATATACTTATTTTGTCTTCTTTTGAAATAATTATTTTTTACAAGTAGACAGAAAGAGTTTAACTTATTTGGTAAGATAAGAAAGTTATTTAAGCAGACTAGTTTAATTATGGAAATAATTACTATTGGGAAAAAGGGCTGAGTAAAGAGAAGTTTTCTATTGGTAATTTTCTATGCAAGCAAGAAAAAAAAATGATAAAAAAGCACCAATACGAACAAAGTGATTTTAAAAAAAAAATGGTTTTAAAAAACAATTTAGAAAAATCCCTAAAAGACCTAGAAATAAGAATTAAGGAGTTAGAGCAAAGTAATGAAGGGTTACGTTCACAATTTAAAAATTTAAAAGAAAAGGTTAAAGAGCGAGAAGAAGAAACTAAAGACAAATAAGTAATTATAAATAATTTAGAAAAAAGAGTTAGAGAAGAAACTAAAGCTAAGCAAGAAATTATTAATAACTATGAAGAAAAGTTTAGAGAATGAGAAGAAGCATTCAAGAAAAAGCAAGATGTCATTAATGAATTAGAAAAGAGAATCAGAAATCTTGAATTAATAATTTATGATAATACTATTGATAGTTTAACCATTACAGATACTAATAAGGACATATTAAACACCACAGGAGGATTGCTAAAATATCGAAACTTAACAACACTCTAATGTGATAGTACTAAAATAACTAGACTACCAACTTTACCTTACTCCTTATCAGTACTCTGTTATAATAATACCCAAATAACCATTTTACCAACTTTACTTAACTTCTTAATGACACTCTATTGTAATGATACTAAAATAAACAGCCTTTCAACTTTACCTAATTCCTTAACAAAGCTCTATTGTCATTATTCTAAAATAACAAGTTTACCAACTTTACCTAACTTCATAACTTTACTCAAGTGTAATTATACTCAAATAACCAGCCTACCAACTTTACCTAACTCCATAACGAAACTCATTTGCTATATTACCTAAATTACTAGTTTGCCAACTTTACCCAATTCCTTAACTAAACTCTATTGCTATGATACCCAAATTACCAGCTTAACAACTTTATCCAACTCTATAACGACATTCTATTGTATCAATACTTTAATAGCCAGCCTACTAACTTTATACAACTCTTTAATGACACTCTATTGTCATAACTAATTTACTAAATTTGGCCGATTCCTTAACAATTATCAGACCTAAAATTTAAAAAATTAATACTCCAACAATTATCTTATCAACTTTTAATACTTTTAATTAGTTGCTTTATTTTAACGAAGATTTTATTTATTTTTTCTTAAATAATAAAATCATAAATTTGATTTATTGACTGGCTTAAGCATATATTTCTTAATTTTGAAGAAAAAATAAATTTTATTAATAAAAAGAAATACTAATTTAAAATAAAAATAGGTTTGTCACAACCAATTTTCATATTTAGTTGCTAAGTTAGAAAAAGAAGATATTTGCGATTTAATTGTAAAATATGTTTATTCTATATTAACTTGTTATATAATCTATAAATATTGATATATGCAAACAAAAATTAAAATTTTGCATAATTTGTTTTATAGCAAATGAATGCAAAAAGTAAAATCCATATATACCATTATAACGTTAAAATAAAATAATGTTGATCATAATTAAAAATTTACATTAAAAGATCATATAGCTGACTTAGTTGACAAATATGATATGATTTATATTATATTTATTATATTTGTTAACTTTATTAAAATTAGTCATATTTATTATATTAGATATATAATCGACCCTCTATATAGTCACACCCCCTTGGGACTAAAAAAATGGTGTGATTATAAAAATACTATATGGTGTGACTAAAAAGAAGGATATAATACTTTTTCTTTGATAATTATCACTGAAACATTTCCTTGTAAATATTCATATTTTTATGTAATATTTGAAATAAGTAAAATAAAATAAAAAAATCTACCTTTTTATCTATTGAGATACTTGTCTTGAAAAGTATTATGTTCTATTTACGTTTTGAATAACTAATCATAGTATTTAATTATAATATAATAAAAAATAATTTGTTTATTTAATGATTACAAACTGCTTTTTGTTATAATTACTACTCTATATATTATAGTGTTCATTAAATAAATATTTATAAAATTTGATTTCAAATAAATTTCAATATATATAAAAAATTGAATATAATAAATATTTTTTTCAAATTGATTAAATAAAATTACATATATATTAAGTACTTATTTCATCATCTGTTATAATTGTATTCTCTATAAATTAAAAATATAATATTTAATATAATAAACTAAAATTATTTAAAAATATTTAAAATATAATTACCAATATTTTGATTAATTTCTGTTGTATTTATTATATTTTGATTTAAAATTTTATTTAAATTTTCAGTAAAATCAAGTAAACGACTTGTATGATATGCT